ATATATATATATATATATATATATATATATATATATATATTTAGTTTATGCAAATTTAGGTAATCCGTATGGGTAGACCTGAGGAGGATGATATCCAGAGAGCTCAATGTAAAATTCAGAGCAGATACGTTTGAATAAAAGACAGACCACGTTAAGATTCCATGTAATAAGCTATTTCACCATAACCCCTTTAATAGGGTTCTGGATCATCAGACTTTACTTCCAAAAGCTGAAATGAAAATTGAAAAGAAATTCACACGTTTAAAAAGGTGGTTAAGGGGTTAGCGATAAGGACTACATTAAGGAAGAGGTTCCAACAACCCCAATAAATTACACGACAGGTTTCATTCAAATTCTTAGACGCTGTCAGTTCGCGTTACTTTAACGTGCATATTTGGGAGGTTAAGGTTTGATAAATATCTAAATTTTAAAACCACTCTACGAAGAAATTAATTTGAAATTCGGTGGAGTTTTGAGTATTTTCTATGAAGCAGTCGATTGGAAAAAACCCATAGACAGAACATTGAAAGAGTAATCCCATTTATATTTAGTACTTTTTCCACTAAAACTTTTATCTTATAGCTTGTTAGGTTGACATTTATTCGTTTGATTTTTGTTCATTAAGTAAACTCGTGATTGTTTTTGATTTTTGTTCATTTGTTGGAACGTCTTCCTTAACCACCTTTATCTAGAGACGAGACGCGTTAGATTTGAGCAACATCCAGCCGACACACTGGGGTTAAAATAGGAAACTAAAATGATACATATGACACACTCATATCCTCTCTCCCACCTCACTTCCTCACTTCGCTAACTTTGCGTATACTTGATGAGGTCCGTAAAAAACGTGTGAATTTCTTTTCATTTTTCATTTCAGCTTTTGGAAGTAAAGTCTGATGATCCAGAACCCTGTAAAAGGGGTTATGGTGAAATAGCTTATTACATGGAATCTTAACGTGGTCTGTCTTTTTTCAAACATATATATATATATATATATATATATATATATATATATATATATATATATATATGTAGTTATTTATGTAGTTATTTATTTAAAAATTATAACATAAATATGTTATAAAATCACTACAAAATAGCCATTTTGTTTCAACACCTCCGGTGTCTTATTAAGTGATGATGTTGAATGTAAAATAAATGGTTTTAAAAGTTTCGAATTAATTAACGATTCCTTCGCAAGGGGAAAACGTTGTTACAAAAGCTAGAATAAACAATCAAAATACAAGTATAGGAAAATTCAAAAAGCTTGATAGCAAAGTCATGTTATAATAGCTATTCAGATCTTTAAAATAGGGGTAAAATTTTAAAAAAGAATTTATTCTAACCAATAATTATTAAATTATATGATAAAATTTGATATTAAAATTAAACGTAAAAATTACCAATTTTAAAATCCAAATTTAATAAGTTTAAAATTATAAAATTACTGAGGAGAAAAGAAAAAATACATATATTATTCAATTTATTTCTTCATTGAAATTACCTTAGAATAGACGCTAATGTCTGCCGGTCATCCGACAATATGTATACATTTTAATCCCAAATGTGTGAATGGGGTCCTAACCTCTCGCGTAAAACAATACAAACACACTCAGATTATAATACATAAGCACCCAGACATATTTAGATATATACACACACAAAAAGGTGACGAGACAGGAAACATCTCCACGACCCTTTATAAAAAATAAAAAAAAAAACACACACACATACATACACAATTAAAAGTGCATGCGTTTTCCATACACATAGACACCGATAAATACATGTACACACATTCACAGACATTGACCTAGACAATGAGATAACACAACCAAGAAATATTCAAGACTGAAAGTGTCATTAAACAAATGCTAACCACTTATTAAAATATAACTTAAGCGAGCAAATATGCAAAGATAAAAATGGTTAAAAATAATATTATCTAATATATAAAAAACGAAAACTCCAAACCCACAAATATCTATAAAAACATATATTTTAATCAAATAAGTTGATATATGTTTTATTATATATTAGGTGAAGGAAAATAAGATAAAAACTACCTACAGATATAAGTGTACAGTCACACATATATACATATATACACATACAAGCATACACAGAAATATATGTCTACATACATCCACATACACACGCACATATATATATATATATATACGCATACACATACGTATATATACACATACTGAAGCAAGTATAAATATATCAACCCACACAGCGACGTAAAAATAAACAAGCCAGATATAAATATATATACATACATGCACATAAATACAAATACACACATACATACAAATACACATGTACATACATATATATACATATTTAAACATACATATACATATGCATGTATACATATAAACTAAATACAGAAACATACATATATACCAACGCATATACAAACATACGCATACACATAAAAACCCATACAAACGTAAATTCACCTATATAGACATATATACGCGCACAAACACAT